TACTACCTGAATAATTACATTCGTTGGTACTCGACCGAGCCGTTCGCGTCTGCCAATGGGCAAATACCACAACTGAATATTTGGGATGACCATGACATTATAGACGGATTTGGATCGTACGTCAACGACTTCATGAATTGTGATGTCTTCCGAGGCATTGGTGGCACTGCACACAAATACTATATGCTCTTCCAACATCACCTTGCACCACCTGCCTCCACATACACTTCGGATGCGCCCAAGGCAGGGGAACATGGACCAGAGGAGGATCCAAAGCAACTTGTGAATACTTATGTTAGGCCACAAACTTTCGACCCATCCTATATTATTGGTAGTAGGCCTGGTCCATATGTCGCTCAGCATTCGATGAACATGTTCACCAAGCTTGGTGCCAGAATCGCATTCATGGGCATTGATGCTCGTATCGAGCGCACGCGACATCAGGTCAACTATGAGGAGACTTACGATCTGATCTTCAACCGCGTGAGGGAAGAACTTGGCAACGCACAAGCAGCTGGTCAGCCTTTTAGGCACTTAATCCTGCTTTTAGGTATCCCTATTGCGTATCCGGTATGATACCCACGCCCCTAGTATCGTGGCGACCTACTAACAGCAATAGCGACTCACTTGGCTCGAGAACGTATTTAGCAGTCCCCTTATCGCTCCCGTGAAGTTCCTCAACAGAAGATTCGGATTCGGTAAGTAAATCAATCGTATCCGATTAGTAATTGTGATTGCTAATGGATACAGGCGGTGGTGTTTTCAATCATTTTGATGGCAGCGTGGATCTGCTTGACGATTTAGATGATCATTACACGGCTAGAACTCACAAGAAGGAGAGAAATGCTCTAGTCCACCGACTACAAGAAGTCTGCGCTGAATTCTCCATCCGACTTACAATTCTTGGAGGTGACGTCCACTTGGCAGCCCTTGGACGTTTCTACTCGAACCCGAATCTACATATCCCGGTAGAGAAGGATCACCGTTATATAGTCAACGTGATCTCATCTGCCATTGTTAACAAGCCTCCACCAGCAGCGATCGCCAACCTGTTAGCAAGTCGTAATAAAATCCACCATCTCGACCCAGATACTGATGAAACGCTCATGTCCCTTTTTGACAAGGATCCTGGAAATTCCAGCAAGACAAGGTCGTCCAATCGTGTTACCATGCCTAGTCGGAATTATGCCATGCTCACGGAGAATTCACCAAACAACCCTGACAATGCTCACGGCGCCGAAGAAGCGGCGGATGCTGATTCACCAGAGAATATATTCGATGGGAAGAGTGGTCACTCGTTCTTATCAAAGGGCGAGTCCGGTGCGGGAACCAAACACAAGGCCGCCGACTTCGAGAGACATGGCAAGGGCAACGATGGGGGTCTTGATGTATGTATTCGAGTAGAGATCGACCAACATGACAAGGAGGGTAAGACCGAGCCGTATGGTCTCACAATCCCGGCTCTTGACTACGAGGCCGGGAAATTTGGAACAAACGCCCACTCGCACCACCTCACCCCTCACCGAAGCCGACCAGGTACTTCCGGGGCTGCTAGTACCATTCCCGCAACTAGCATACCGTCGCTACCAGGATCAATACCCGACATGCCGGAACGTCCACCTCAATGAAGGTCTCCCGGTTTGGCATAACCGTTCGCGTATGAAAGTGCGTTTTTCTTAGCAATCTGACACGGCTTTTCTCGGGTTGCTATGGAGTTTTGTGGCCAAGAAGGCGCAAGAGCGCAAATGCTTTGTAGAGTGGAGCCGTGATCCGCCCTATTTTTTAACCCTGAAATCTCGCCAGGGAGTCTAGAGAAGGATAACAATAATACCCAAGAGGATATCTGCATTGCATTTGATTTTCAATTCCCCTGACGGTGGTTTTGTACACTTATACTCTAATGCTAATAATCGTGTTTGTAGCATGTTCTCTCTACCTATCTTCATAGGTAGGTACTGTGTATAGATCATATAATGGATAGGATTTCCACATCTCTTCCTCGTCCCGTGATCTAGAAAGCTTGCGTACGCCTAGACCTATATGCACCCCACGAGCTTTCGAGTTAGGTAATGGTAAATGCTATTGCTATTAGAAGAAGGCTCGGCCAGGGGTATGAACTCAAAAGAACGGTTCTGGTCGGGTAACGGACTCTCTAACACGCTTAGAAAAGTTGAAGAATAGTCGGGTCTGGCTGCCAAAGTAAGAAACGAAGCTAATTAGCGCGCCGCCGGTCTGGTAGATGGTTTAGACGCTCATGCCGAATTCGGCTCGTTCGCAGCAAATATCGGGCTTCTCATTGGCCAATCGTTTGGATTATAACTTCGCAGCTTCTCTGCCCCGCAGGGTCCCTTCGTTTATGCCGCGACAAAGCGAGCCCATACATCATAATTATCGGAGTCGATACGCCGACGAAGCTTTATCTATTGAGTTATAATGCGTGATAGGGAATCTGCGTTGGACAAAGTTCTCGTGACGATAGGCCGTTGAAGTTGTCAAGATTCCTATTTCTCTTCTTCCAAGCATACAGCATTTTCCAATAAGTCCTACTTCAATTGGGATTGAATTTGTCTTGTGCTCAACTTAAACTTGGCGATAATTGTCTCTGGGTTGTGCATATTCAGTATGTCGTCTGCGCCGAGGACCTCCGGCCTCGTGAGGGCATTACAGAACTCTGGCCTATCCTCCAGAGTCTGCTCAAGATGCCTACCGATTCTTCGGTCTCCCAGAAATGCGAGAGCTTTGAGCACGACAAACGCTAGAATGACATTGGCGGCTTTCAAGATACCTAAAGTTTCCAATGAGCCAAATGTAGGTTAATTTGACTCAAATCTCAATTCCACGAGCCGCTTAGAATCATTGGACTGACAGGAAATATAGCACATTTACGCGAAGGGCTCGGCGCAAAGACAGGGTCTATTATCCGCAGTCGCCGCTCAACAGAAGAAGGGAACGATAGAAATACCCCTCATAATAGGAGGCAAAGAGGTGGGATATAATCCATACCAATTTCCCCTTTCTTCAAAAATTAACCTCTTAAATAGATAAAATCGTCTCGAAGATCTACCCAACACAACCCCGCCGATCATTCATCTGCGATCGCGAACTATTCCCTCGCTAGCCCGTCAGAAGTCAACACAGCTATCGAGGCAGCCCTAGCCGCTAAGCCAGCATGGGAGAACCTACCTTTTGCTGATAGAGCAGCTGTCTTCCTTAAGGCGGCTGATTTGATCTCCACAAAGTACCGGTACGAGCTTATGGCCACGACCATCCTTGGCCAAGGCAAGAACGCGTGGCAGGCCGAAATTGACGCTGCAGCGGAACTATGCGATTTCTTCCGCTTCAACGTCCAATATGCGGAAGAGATGTACGCGCAGCAGCCCGCACACAACTCGCCCGGTTTATGGAACCGTTCGGAATACCGACCACTTGAAGGTTTCGTGTACGCCGTCAGCCCCTTTAACTTTACCGCGATTGGTGGCAACCTCGCTGGTGTGCCCGCACTCCTCGGCAACGTGGTGATCTGGAAGCCGTCCGACTCGGCCGTAGCGGCAGGCCATCTCGTGCACAAGATCTTGCTCGAAGCGGGCTTGCCCGAGAACGTGATCCAATTCGTACCCGGCAACCCGGTCGAAGTAACGGAGACAGTCCTCGCACACAAGCAATTCGCAGCACTACACTACACCGGCAGCACGGCCGTCTTCCGCCAGCTGTACGGACAGATCGGCCAGGGCGTCGCCGAGGGCCGGTACGCCGGGTACCCGCGCATCGTCGGCGAGACGGGCGGCAAGAACTTCCACCTGGTGCACAGCTCGGCCGACATCCAAAACGCCGTCGTCCACACCGTGCGCGGGGCCTTCGAGTACTCGGGCCAAAAGTGCAGCGCCACCAGCCGTCTCTACGTCGCCAAGTCGATCTGGCCCGAGTTCAAAGCCAAGCTCGTCGCCGAGACGAACAAGCTCCAGGTCGGCGCGCCGTGGGATCCGAAGACGTTCATCGGCCCCGTGATCCACGAGCCCAGCTTCAAGAAGCTGAGCGGCGTGATCGACGCCGCGAAAAACGACCCCGAGCTGGAGTTGCTGGCGGGTGGCAAGTACGACGGGTCCAAGGGGTACTTTATCCACCCCACCATCTACCAGACGACGAACCCGGCGCACAAGCTCCTCAGCACCGAGCTCTTCGGCCCGATACTGACCACGTACGTGTACGATGACAAGAAGGGAGGCCCCGAGCAGGCTTTTGCTGAGGCGTGCAAGCTGGTCGACTCTACGAGCGAGTACGGACTCACGGGCGCCGTGTTCGCGAGCGATAGGTTGGCTATCCGGGCCGCGGAGGAGGCGCTCAGGAACGCGGCGGGCAACTTCTACGTCAACTGCAAGAGCACCGGCGCGGTTGTCGGACAGCAGCCGTTCGGTGGCGCGAGGGCGAGCGGAACCAACGATAAGGCGGGGAGCGTGAATATCGTTAGTAGGTTTGTCAGCGTGAGGAGTATCAAGGAGGAGTTCTTGCCGAGTAATGAGGTTGGGTATCCTAGTAACGAGGTTTAAAAGATTGTGGGACGGGAAGTTGGGGATATGGGAGGGGTAAGGTGCGCGGATGCTTATTATATCCAATATCCAGATGTAGGTATGGAAAGGGGTGAGGAAATAGGAGGTATTGGGCTGACTAAGCCAGGGGGGGTGGGATGGGTTGCGATACCAATGACCGAGAGGTTCTCAATATTAAGAATAACTGAGAGTAGTTATCTCAATGGCTACAGTATGGTATAGTTTTATGAGAAACATAATGAAACTCATGATTCAACGATGTTGATGTTTTTGGATTGTGACATTGAGGTGTGGAAGCACTGGATGAGAGGTCACGCGAGACAAGGAACCTCTATCCCCATAACTTGTCAAATATACTGGTAAATAATATACTGGTCAATGGTAAATAGTAGTTTAAAAAATGGCGAGCCTTTTCTAAGAGATCTACTTCGTTAATCTTCTTAGCCAAAAAGAATATACCATTACGGGGGTTCGAACCCCGGTCTCCAGAGATCTCAAGTCGTTTGATCGTTTGAAAATCTGGCATCCTAACCACTGGACGATAATGGTCTTTCTCACAACGAGGCGGCTCATTAAGGGAAACCTCTTTTGGTAGGTGTAAGGCTATTGTGTGTTTATAAGAGTACCTGCCAAGTTTGTTTTTGGGAAGGCACGTAATGCAGCTTGCACTTGTGGTTTGCGCTGTTATTGAGGTGTAGTTTGTGCGTGCAAGGGGCGCTCTTGCCTGTTTTTCCTGCTATGGAGTGGAGTGGATTGGATTGAATTACATCGGTAGGTACTAAGAAGGTAAACGTAATTTGTGTTTCCGTCTCATCTTGTGCCTACCTGCCATACGTATCAGCTGGTCCGAAGCCCCTGAGCTTGTTAGGACCTGTAGATGTAACGGAGGCCTCCGTTTATTCAAGTGTTATTTGCCAGGACTATAATTACAGTCTATATAGGATTCTAGGCGTAAACTCCCTAACTTCAGATGAGAAAGGTGCTAGATAAGGGGTATAGTGACGGTATGTTGGGGATGCTACTCTGACAACAGCGCTCGGTCATGTTTGCTAGCGCAACACAACAAACAGCACGCGAACGACATTGGTATGTAAATATGAATTTGATAATCTTACGGGCTTATCTAGTAACTTGCTCTGTGTATCCTTAAGTCGTATCATGTGCGCGTATGTAATGTGGGAATATCCAGAGAAGCGTGTTCAGGAGTATCTGATATTATGAGATACCTAGGTCCTAGGTCCTAGGTAGTAGCCATCAATGCACGACATTATGAACACGTTTTTTTTTTTGAAATCGCATACCCAAGCTTATGGTAGGTTTTTATTGAGGTGAAGCTATAATATAGGACATTCCATAATCATACGGAGTTCTCAGACTAGAATGCAAGTTATTTTCCAAACTTGTTGATCTCTCTGTTGACAGCGTTGTTGATCATCGGGTCAGCACCTGCTGGAATACCCTTCTTCGAAGCCTCCTGATCGACCACTAAATCCCGATTCTTAATGATCCACGTACGTATTAGGAGGGAGATATGTACATACTGGAATCGACCATGGTGTCCTTGGCAGAGTTTTGACCCGGGTTCTGAGACTGAGCACCGTTGTTGCCCGTACTGATTCAATTATTAGTCAATGCCATTCGAATGGTGGATGTATGTGGACGCGTACGACTGGCCGGTGAGCTCATTCTTTGCCTGCTTCAGCTTATCCATGATAGGTAGTGTGATATATGAACGTATTCGATCTTTGTATTAGGTATTTGGAGTTTGTGATAATATAGATATTATTTTGATAGAGAGCATCGAACTGCGAAAAGCCGTGGTTTAAGTATTCGATAGAAGCAGACCCAGCTCAGGGACAGTCCACATTCCATCAGCAACCTAGGGAACCTAGGGAACCTTGACGTCCGATAATTTGGACGTCAATGTAATACCTCTGTAATTACTCGTGGCAATGAGCGAAAGTCTCCAGATGAGAGTTTGCAAGTGTAGGTAGGATCCTGATTTACACTGGGTCCATGAAGACTCCGTAGAATAGGATTGACCGTGAACTGACTCGCACTACGGATATAGTCACATTCCATATTGAAGCGGCGCAGGAGGCCGCTCATTATCAATGAAGCCAATATAATGTACACCTACTATAGATGAAGTTCATGAGTTGTGACAAAGGTAGCTGCCTAGTAGTGTGATAGCTCCTTTATGCGTCCGTCCATATCTTCCCTTGTAATAGAACTGTACCATTGGTAAGTTATACATGAAATTATTTGCAAATGCCTTCCAAAATGACAGCACACATCCTTACGCGGGCAACTCCCAGATCATTTGCTTATCAGACCTCCGAAATTTCTGCGTGGCCCCTGAAGGCATTTCCGACGGACGGCGCTGTTCGTCTAACTCAGGTATCTCTTTCTCCTCCACGTCCAATTCATGGATAGTTATTTCATCCTCCCTTAAATACTTTTGGCCTGGTGGAGAATGTTTGAGATCTGGATGAGGGTTTGATACATCCTGCGTCTTCCTTCGACGCATGAATAGAAATGTGCCAACGATTCCTAAGGCCAGTGCTCCAAAGATTCCTGCTACAATTCCTGCGATAGCCCCGCCTGCCAATGCACCGACAGGTGTTACCGCGCTTGTTGAAGCTGTGCTTGGTGAGGCTGACGCGGTCTGTACCATGGAGGTCGTGTCTGGTGTAGTATCTAGATTTGTATTGGTAGCCGGATCGGACGTGGGGGTATCGATTAGTAATGCAGACATGTCAGAAGTGGCTATAGGTATTGAGGTGGCTATTGGAGAGGCTGCCTTATGCACCTGGACACTGAAAGCCCAGATAGGCTGTCCTGTGACCGTGACATCTGAGTAAGTGCCGGTCGTCGTATGCCCGTAATCGATTAGTAGGCTTGTTAAAGCCATGGTTAGTGTTGAATAAACGCACCCAAATTTGTTGTACGCGACCCCTGGGTAGCAACTAAAATCCAGATTACTAGAAAGCGCATTAGTTTCGCCGGCAGCACAAGGTATGAGTTTCGTGAACGTACGTCGGACAGCAAATAGTCGTCCCAATATTACTTTGTGTCATGAAACAAGCATCGGTATATCCGTATGGACATATGGCTGGCGAGTAATAACCATTGACAACCCACTTCGAAGGCATACAACCATCGGCAGAGTTTGTAGGGCCTACTTGCCAAACGACAGCTGTCAAGTCTTGGCCCAAGGAATATGTGTTGCCTGTATTGCAAGTTGAAGGGGCCGAGAAAGTAGTGGTCAACGGACCAAGAAATGAGGCAGTGGCCGCGATGGCTCCTGGTGGTATTCCTGAAGTCTTTGACGTCGCCATCGCCCACACGAATACGGCAGCATACTAAGAGCTTACCAGTGTGAGAGAAACGAAGATGTTCACCCGGGCTTCGATGAATGATATTTTCGGCTGCGCCCTTCCATCTCTCCCGCTGCGGCGTAGGTTAGCTATTGCTAAAATGTTACTGAAATGGGCAAAGGTAGCAATGGAAATACAGGGTATCTATTGATCTTAAAATAACACCAGCATGAAACTCTCACGGGATTTTAGTTAATGACCTTCTCAATAAGGGAATTATCTAATGGTAGCTTATGGTTCAAGTGAGATGTTGATAATTGGGTGCCTGGCTGCGCCAGTCAGCTGCATTATGAATATCCTCCAGGGAGTTAGCCCGACGGTGATATAAAGCATCAAATCACACTTGAATCGTATAACGATAAGAGCCTAGATTCTGTATATCTTTATTAGTTTAAAGAGTCAGGCTTGATGAAAGCAGTACGTAAATTCGAAACAACAGAAGGAGGTGCAAAAGCATGTTAATGCTGAAGAGGTTGCATCTCGAGCCATACTCTACGATGGCTTTCAGATAGGGTCAGAGAGTGAAGTGAAAGTCGGGGGACCGGAAATATAATCGGGTAAGGCCCCTGTAGCACCGACCCGCGTGTCGTGGAATTGTTCGCCTTACTTCTGTTTGCGAGATCTTTACGGCTTTAAACCGATAGATACGGGATGAATGCTAGATATAGCAACACCTTACTTATTGGGTCAAGCTTCGATAGAAAGCACCGCATCGAGATAGGGTAGCACCCTTTCCAATATGCGGGGTAGTGGAGACAGCTCTTCAGCAGGACAGGAACAGTTATGCTAATATCAAGTTTCTCCTGAGATCAACTTATTAAGAAACATAGAGTAGGCTTTGCGTTAAGAGTACGCTGGGAGAGTTGCGAACGAAAAAGTGGCTCACTGAGCTCTGGCTGGTAGTAGTTGGCGTATAGAACAACAAGTTCTCACCTGAGATTATGGCACTGGCGCGCCGCCCAGTTATTGCCATCGCTGGCCTAGCCTGCGAGACCTCTACTTTCACGCCATCAAGAACATTAGCGCCAGCATTTCACCCCCAACGCGACGTGGAAATTATAGGGAGATATCCCTTTATTCAGCCCGGAACGCCCCTAGGTGATGCTGCAGAGTGGCGTGGCGCACTCACCGGTCACGCTTTACCCGGTGGCATGGTGACAAGAGACGCCTTTGAAACTCTTTCCGCCGAGATCGTCAGTCGCCTTACCGCGATAACGGCCTCTACAAAAGTCGACGGGTTCTGGTTCGATATACATGGCGCTATGTGTGTTGAAGGTCTCGACGATGCGGAGTACGAGCTTTTAAGACGTATCCGTGAGGCCATCGGACCGGACGTCTTGGTATCGGCATCAATGGACCTACACGGTAATGTCTCGCAAGATTTGGCACATCAGACAGACCTAATTACTTGTTACCGCACGGCACCTCATGTGGATGTTGCGGAGACGAAAGAGCGCGCATGTCGGAACTTGATTGAGCTGCTTCGACGGCAGGCGGATGGCGAGGCTGTGCGACCTTTCAAGGCTTGGGTGCCGATTCCAATTCTTCTGCCAGGTGAGCAGACTTCAACAAGGGATGAACCAGCTGCACACATATACGCCGCTGTCCCGAAGGTTGAAGCGATGGATGGCGTTCTGGATGCAGCGATTTGGGTAGGCTATGCTTGGGCTGACGAACCTAGAAATAGGGCTGTGGTAGTGGTTACTGGTTGGGATAAGCAGGCCGTAACTGCGGGCGCCGAAAAATTAGCACACTTGTTCTGGGATTCGCATAAAGACTTCACTTTTGTGGCGCCCACAGGGTCATTTAAGGAGTGCTTGGATACTGCATTAGCATCTGAGAAACGCCCATATTTCATTTCGGACTCTGGAGATAACCCCACGGCTGGGGGCTCTGGAGATGTGACGTGGGGGTTAACGCAGCTACTTGCGCGTCCGGAGTTCAAGTTAGAGTCGGGTCCGAAGGTCATATACGCCTCTGTACCAGGACATGAGGCCGTCCGAGCAGCGGTGGACGCAGGCGTCGGGGCAACTGTGACAGTGACTGCAGGCGCCAAAGTGGATAATATTCACGCCGGACCAATTACCATGACAGGTCGAGTGCACTCCATAAAGCATGGAGACAAGCACGCCGAGATCGAAGTGGTTCTGCAAGTAGGCAGCGTGTTTG